TCATTCCGCACCTGTCGTTCCTGTTACTCCTTTGCTTTTGGCAGCGTGTCCGGGCCCTTCTTCTGGGCCCCAAGAACGTCTTCTTGGACATCTTGTGTATCCCTCAATATAATGACAAACTGAAGGCGCGAGGCATCATGGGACTCGGAAACAATTTGGAGTGTTCGCAGGAACTCACCGTGCTTTGGTCGCCGCGATACTTCACTCGGCTTTGGTGCCTTCGTAGCTGAATGAATACACTTTACACTTTTGGGGATAAAGTGATCCCATATAGAACTGAAAGTTTACACTTTTTTGGGCTTATGAACTCAGCAACTAAGGTGCACCTACGAGATTGCCATGTTCCTCCGCCGACCCGAGCGCTTGCGGAAAATCCAGCTGGTGCCCGTTACTATGCCGGTCATTCTTTGCCTCTTCAGCGCAGCATGGCTCTGTGTGCGATTGCAGCTCACCGTTGTGGAGTCTGTGACCGTCGGTTGGGACGACGCCGGCTTGAGGCTACTTGTGCGGATCGGCCTAATGCTTCTGTTGGTTCCGGTCATCTTCGTGATGCAGAGCTATTTGGGAATGGGTTTGGTCCAAGACTTGGAGAAGCTGCCTAAGCAGCTACAAGAGTTCAGCATTGCAGACAGCCAATGTTCTTGCTGCTTCTTCGAGCACAGACATCCCAAAACTGGCAAAAGGATCATGTGTGACAGGGAAGTTGTGTACCAGGCGGTGAGTGATTCGTATGATGACCAAGAGGTCAGACGTACCTATTCCCACGAGATCTCACGAACAACGTCCGGCCTAGATGTCTTTGATGGGGCAGTCAGGGGTCAGCTGTCTGACAGAATTTCAGAACAGCGCTTGAGCAGCAGTCTCATTCCTCTTGACCTCTTCATTTACATGGTTTGGGCGTGGGACATTCCTTGGCTTGCGCCAAGACTCCATCTCATTTCCCAAGTTGGTAACCTTGGCCGCCACCCGGAATATGAGCCTTATGATGACCTCTTGCGAGTCTTGTACGCATTTGCAGAGATGATTGACTGGGCAAAGGGGTTGCCATCCATCCTATTGCTGCTCTTCGTGTCCATGCGGCTATGGAAACTGATGTCACGCTGGAAATGTTGCCCTCGGATTGTGCGGGCACTTGCCTCTGCGCCCATGGTCATTCTGAGCACTGTGCTTGTCTTCGTCATCATATCACTTGCGTTGGACTTGACCGAGGATGACTGGAACCCTTTGAACACACTGCCTTTCACCTTCTTCCTGCTGCTGGCAATTTGTCTTTTAAAACCGCCCAAGGCGAAACTCTTATCATTCGTCTGGAGTTTTGTGCAACCAGGGCACGGTCCATCCGCGAAGCCCTCTGCGAGCGAAACTCGCAGCTGGAGCGAAAAGCTCGACCAGAGCACAGAAGAGCTCAGCTCCACTTCAAAAGACGTCCATGTGGACGATGAATTCTTCTCAGTGTAGCTCTCGTTGCCTTGAAGGAGCTTGAAGAAGCTCATTCTCGAGCTTCCACAGATCAGCAGTTGTTTCGAGGATGGTCATTCATTCAGATGGATTTGGTAGCTCGACGTTGTGGAAACTGCCATCATTTTGACAGCCACACTCTGATGCCGCACGGCTTAGAAGCAGGAGCATGGGGCACCTGCTCAAATTTTCCAGATGCACAGTCAACATTTAAACCTGTGGGTTCAGACCCTATGGACCTAACGTGGCTTGGGCTAAGGCCTCTGAATTCGCCCCAAGGCATGAACTTATTGCAGAAGTCGGTGCAGAGCTGCGCACGTCAATGCAGCAGTGATCGTGAGCAGACGAACTGTACAATAAACATCATCGCAGAAGTCCATTTCTTCGATTCGACTGCCCGAGAAACCTTTCAGTTTTTGCAAAAACAGTGCGCAGGGGAGTGACCTCATCAGGATGCATTTCGAAGTTGTACAAAGCCGAGCTTGAACCTGCGAGGGTGAACCCTGAATCAATTCCGGAAGATCGAGCTGAGGTCGGTGCATCGATGGGGACCGAGGCGGCTGGGAGCTTCAGATCACGGGGAAGCTTTTGCTGCAGACAGATCAAAACCGATTACAGTACGTCTTCTTGGCCGCCGATAAATTCCTGTGCCATCCTTTTTGAAGCCCGAAAACACCTCTAACCCCGAGATAAAAGTCCTCAAAAAGGGGCCTTCTGACTCTGCTCGGAGGCCGCGCAAGCCACTCCCCTCGGCCCTTGCCACAAATCGCGGTGCAGTTTGAAGCACAGTCCCGGCCTCGTTAAGATACGTTTCGGTTTGAGAGTTGAAGGCTACTGCCGGAGAGATACTGTGCCAGCAAGCATGCCCGCACAGAAATCCCAAAGAGACCCCAAATAGCCTTCGGCAAAACCTGTAAACGCTAAACCTTAAACCTTAAACAAATAGAACTTTAAACCCTAAACCTGGAAGCCCTAAGACCCTAAAGCCTGACAGCCACCAAAACCCTAAGCACTAAACCCTACAAACACCCCAACCCCAGCCCCAGCCCCCAAGCCCAAGCAGTCGCTGAGGATTCAGCCTCCGGCGGCAATGCTGGATGTGCCCTTGCCCCAGCCAATGCCGATAAATGTTAGGTTTGGTATGCGTAGACTCAGTCGTAGAGTGACGTCAATGCAGCTTTTTTGTTTCTTGGCTCCTGGAGAGGGTTCGAGACTCATATGACGAAGACACGATCCAATCTTCTGTTGTTGATAGTGGTCGCATCATGATGATTTCGTAGTCTTCTTGTTGCTGTTATGAGCATTGCTGCGAGAAGCCCTCTTCTGATTCACAACAAGAGATCGGCCACTTAGGCAAAGCCGATAAGTGCACTACCGCCAGCTCTGCCATGTTGAAATGCACGGCATGCCAAGCCTTGCACACAAATCCCACAGTCATAAACCCTCAGCCCCCTAGATCCTACACCCCCGTAGCCCTAAAACCTACAACCCCGCCCGTCCTAAAACACCAACTCTAACAAAAGAAGACCCCTAAACCCTAAACCCAAAGCCCTGATGATTGAATTTAAAGCCGAAGAAAAGGAGCGACCGATACGTCAGCAGCCGTCAAACCTCCAAGCCCTGGTCTCAGCAGCAATTGCGACCAAGAGTCTTCCGCTTCAGGGTTTCAGGGTTTCAAGGTTTCAGGGTTTAGGGTTTAGATGGGTTTAGTGTGATTTAGGGTAAATTCAGGGTTTAGGGTTTAGGGGTTTAGGGTTGAGGGTTTCAGGGGTTAGGGTTTAGGGGGTTTAGGTTTTAGGATTTCAGGGTTTAGGGCCTGGGGGGTCTTGGAGTAAAGGCTTTGAGGATGTAGGATCCCAAGCGAGGTCTCTCGTTTCGTCAAGTGCGGTGCGTCATTATCCTAAACCCTAAACCCTAAGCCCTACTGTTGGTCATGTCACATCCAACTCTGCAGCAGACTGTAATGTCGACTAGCTCACGTACTCTGGGCGCTGAAGCCATCTGCCTGAAGTGCGTGGGCTTCATCCCTCCTGTCACTCCACTTCGAATCTATTAACAATTGCACTCTGGCGGCCTTTACCAGGGTCCAACACCAGGCGGTATTCGGCCAAGATCTAGAGTTTGAATCTAGACATTTCCGTGCAGTCCGCAGTATTTGCGTTTTGCCATGAACATAGAATCCTTCATCAGGGAAGAAGACGAGGCATGCAATTCCACAAGATATTACCCAGGTCAGTCAGAACACACCGACCGGAAACTCAAAAACCTTATTTCAAGATATCCCAGGAGTTGTGAACAGCTCAGTTGAGATGGAGCCGAAGCGCACCAAATCTAGACCCTCAAATCCAAACCGATCCCACACCAGAAACCCAGATCGGACGATGCACGCCTGAGGAGTAGCACGGGAGCTGCTGCCGCAGCTTGGGACCGCTTCCACGAAGCGGCCTGTCCAGACGGTGAGTCAGGGCTTTGGGGTTCAGGGTTTAGAGTTTAAGGCTTAGGGCTTAAACACACATGTACAGTATACGGTAGGCTATGCCGTCATTGCAACGGTATCGGTATTGCTACAAGACGTGTCCGAGCACAGTTGAAATCGCCCGGGATCGTGTCGCTTTCCCAATCCCAGCTCGGTAGAATGTAGACCCCCAATTAATATTCAATATGCCCTTCAAACTCCAAGAGGTTCATACTCAGGCGTCGACATTCATTTTGATGCAGCGTTGATGATATGACGACTTTAATGAATAATCTCATCGCACATCATTCTGTGGTGCAGGTGAACTTATTGCCTCCCAATGTCTGCACACAGCATTTTAGTCGGTAAGTCCGCAAGTGCCGCTGAAACTAGGTATGTTGAAACACAGGTAAGGTACAAATAACACCACCTTCAGCCGCAAACCTGAATGTTGAAGGACTGATGGGAAGGAGATGCCTATGCAATGTATAGTCTTGTAACACATGGGTGGCTAATTCGCTGAATGTGGGTACTGTATGGGCTTTACGAGTGGACCCTGATAGATGGAGCCTCCTCTGACACGCATGTTTTAGTGCAGGTGCCTTTAGCGACATGGTAGTGTAACCTGTAGCCATGCTTGGAGGTTTCGAGAGGCTAGCGAGCATCGGCAAGCAGCAGGTACCACCTGGTTCCCATTTCCCAGTTCTCCCGACAGTTAGCTTTTGCATGCCTAGATGGACATGGACAGCGAGCCTGAGCTTTGAGCCAAGTGCTGCCACGCCCCTGATCGCTTTCGCATCAAAAGAGACGGTGCTCCGAACGTGAGTAGATACTCATGATGGCAACATGCTCACAGGTAGACAACGCTTCGTTGCTTCATGAACCTTACATCCGCTCAGCCTGATCGGCATTACAAGTAGCCACGGCTTGACTATTCAATCACTGCAGTAGGTTACTATGGGCTGTCCAAGGATTGGTCAATCGCGCTTGCCCACCCTCACCGCAATGAAGATCTTTAGCTATTTTTGCGGACCAGCTTGAATGCAGCTAGGTCAAGCATGTGCAACCCGGACAAGGCTCCCTAACCACGGCAAACCTATGTTTTGTCTTGTGCAAGGTCAGTGACGGTCTAAACACCGTCGGGATTGGTTGAAAGTTCAGAACGTTTGTAACGTGCCGTTGTGGAGCAGATTCACACTTCGCAAAAGTGCCGGTTTGCCTGCAGCGAGGCTTTTGTTTCAGACTATCTTCACTGGTCGTACTCATACCGCCTGGTTACTTGCCTCCAACCAGTTTGGTTGATTGAGTCCGTGGTCCTTTCTGCAGCAAGATTGTTCTTGACACAAAGCAACAGCCTTTCTTGGGACTACATCGAGTGAAATGGGAAAGTGCTCTGGGACCGGAGCTCGGGTTCGCTTGCCCGCTTGGCAGAGCCATCACATAACCGCCGTGCAGCCATTTCTATTTGCCTCTAGCTGAGGATTGCAGCTGAGAGTTGGAAGCAAGGGCTCATTCCAACACAATTCCAGAGCCGCGATTCCTAAACCCTACACTGCTCTACACATCCCTACAGTGCACCCTTTTGTTGCCGCGCGTTGTCTGACATGGTGATATGCCATGGTCAGACAAACCGCAGTGGTTGTGCTGCTTTCGCTGTCTCTGGGCCTAAACGCTTTCCTTCTTGGGCAAGGGCGAATTTCGCCGTGGATCTCAAGGCCACACTTCCTCTTCCCTTCGTCCATCATTGCCCCACCTTCCGTTGATGTTTAACCCAACGACGATGGAATGATGATTGCGATTGTTGAAACGATCATTATGATGTTTATGATTTGTCTTGGGATGTTTGAATGCCACTTGTGCTACCGACATCGGAGTCCTGTGATCTGTCCGACACCTCTGGTGCGGGTGGATGGAAAGCTTGGACGAAACAACGCACCTGTAGCGAGAATTCACGTTAGGATCCCTGAATTGCGAAAGCTTGCAGGCTTAGCTTCGTGAGCGCACAGCCGCAGAGGCACTGTCCCTGCTAAGCCTTGGAATTTGATTAGGGCTTCAGCTTGTGAGTTCAGCTCAGCAGCGTAACTACTGTACTGCTTCGGATCAGATAGTCCTTCCTTGCAGAAATACTTTCAGTGCTATCCAACTGGACATGTATGCTGTAGATCCGGTGCTTTACCAAAGGGTCTGTGTGGAAACCGCACCGTGCAAAAGAAACAGAACAAGACCAGCTTGGCCACATAGCTCTGTCTCACACACTCACGCTTTGACTCACTCGCCCGCACAACCGGTCAGGCAACCCACGCCCACTCCTCTGAAAACTCACATTTGTTGCATTAACTGACTGAGCCAAAAGAAGACGACGGCAGGCAGGCAGTTTGACTAAGAAGCGAGGAGGAAACACAAAGAGAAAGGCCCGCCTCCCAGACCAAAGGTCGTGAACTTTGTGCGAGGGTGCTGTCACAATAATATCAGTGTGAAGTTCCGTTCATCAGCGCAGCATTCATCCTGACAATGACAAGTGTGCTCACCCATAACAATATTATGG